TGTCACACAGAACGCTGGACTAAATTATCACTTTTATTACTTCAGAATCGTGTCACACAGAACTCTGGACTAAATTATCACTTTTATTACTTCAGAATCGTGTCACACAGAACTCTGGACTAAATTATCACTTTTATTACCTCTGAATTGTGTCCACAAACGCTGAACATGATTTATGAGTAAATCACTAAAGTCTTCCAACTACCAATATACTTTAAACGTCATTAGTGAGTTGGGAGAAGTTGTATAAGATGGATGGTAAAAGTGACTTGTCTGTTTTTGAAATGACAGGTGGTTTACTTTACTGTGACATTCAGCCTTTGAAACAATAGTATTGAGGAATATAAACTAAAGATATTAACTATTAATATGAACTAATGATATAAGCGATTTTTATAAACTAGTGATGTAAACTTGTTTCATAAAGTAGTGTTATTAACTATTAGTGCGACTAATAACCTTGTATGATAATAATAAATTAACTTGTATTATAAACTGATAATATAAATTAGTAGCATGATCTAGTAATAGAAATGTAAATTAGCATGCTTTTTCTTTAACTACTTAACCAAATAAAAAAGCTAACGCTTCATATTAGTGCTTATAGAGTGACTGTTTGTAGTTAAACACAAAGCTACACAATGAGCTGTCCATGCTGTTCCCACCAAGCGTATCGAAACCCAGTTTTTAACGTTATAAGCGTTCAGACTAACACTGAGCCACTAGGGAGCTATAAAGTGACTTATACACAATATATGACGCATATTTTTCCCCTTCGATTTCCAAATGGGTTTGAGTTTGTACTAGAATAACACACCGACGATGTCACAATACCTACCAATCCTTTGTGAGGGATAACGAAGTTTTCTGCGTCATATTGTCGCTATATTTATTTACAGATCAGACCAATGCAGATCAAACGTGAAAAAAAAAAAAAGATTGGGTTTACGTGTGACCTTAATTTTGTCGACAAAATTTGAACAAGTGTTGCGGCGTTTTGGAATTTTAGGTTATAATTTTAATGTCTGTAACGAAAGCAAAGTTTATTTGCTATGCTCTGTTTTCCTGTCATATATCAAAATGTAGTTGATTGACTTGTTTTTGTAAGCTTACCTTTAACGAGCAAGGTGTCTCTTCACTCTTTTGTCCGGTTATTTTTGCAAGCTTTATATCGTGTATCAACAAGATAAAGTTTAGAAAAACGACCTTTACACGCCAGATATATATAAAATATTTTATTTTAACCAACATTTCATCTTTTCAGCTACCTCATGGTTAATATACAAAACTGTTTGATATTAGAAACGTTGGTTAAAATAAAAATATATGTTTTATATATATGTGGAGTGTAAAGGTCGTTTTTTTTTCTAAATTTTTTACCAAAATGTGTGAATCCCTCCAATATGTACTACAAATTTTGAAAGAGAACGAGATAAAGAGCGTATCATAACACATAAAACTTTCTCCCAGAGATGAGTGGTTTATTAAAATTGAACCGTCATACGTATTTCTAAATCACCACTCTCTCTCACTTTTGTTTTTAATCTGAATGGCTCCTTCAGTGTGAACATTTTAGATAAGGGATATTTCATCTAATAACACCAGGAAAATATGTGAACCGTGTCAGTTTCTAGCGCAATAACTTGTATACGTATTCGGGAGTTTACTTTTTTTTTTGTTATTGGGCACTTGAATCTTGATATGCATACACACTATACTTAATTCTCAAGCTGTAGGTATTTTTGTAAGAACTGGACCTTGATACCAAAAGCTTTTGATAGTTTGTTCAACCGAAAACTAGTACTATTGAAAACTTTCGGTTTCCAAATATAAAAAAAAAAAAATACTGTAGTGCTAAAATCTTTTGGTAAGATTAATAGTTCTTGCTAACATATATTATTTTTACTTTCGGTTTATATACCTATATATCCAGGCCTGATATGGCTTGACGGTTAGGGCTCTCCATTTGTTATCTGCGGGTCGCGGGTTCGAATCTCTTCACCGAAGATGTTCGTTCTTTCAGCCGTGAGGGCGTTATAACTTGACGGTCGATCCCACTATTCATTGGTTAAAGGGTAGCTCAAGAGTTGGCGGTGGGTGTTGTTGACTAGTTGCTTTCCCTTTAGTCTTTCACTGCTAAATTAGGGACGGTTAACGCAGATAGCCCTCGTGTAGCTTTGCGCGAAATTCAAAAACAAAAACAAAACAAACATAGCAGACTTTGAATCGAGGAATAATTTCTCATGCTTATCCAGTCGTTGTGAGCTCGGTCCAGTGGTTAGCGTGTTGGACTGTGGAGCTGTAGTTTTATGGTTCGTGTCCCGTTACCACTAAAACAAAGGCGCTTCGGAAGCATTGTAAGAGTAACGGTCAAATCCCACTATTCGATATGACGAAAGTAGCCTAAGAGCAGGGTTTGAACTGGGGAGGAACGGTCCGAAACGGTGTTCCGCTTCTTGAAGCGTTAGAAGTCCCCAGACTCACCGCTGAGCCACATACCCACATACTTATAAGTACATATCCAAAAATGTTTAAAAAAATCTAGTTACACAATTGAATACTGAAAAAGGAGACGTGAGGCTACAAGTTCAAAATACAAGCACACCAAATGACTCACTAAAAATGGCGTTAGTATTCTCTAAGATCATAATTTTAATAT